GGTTAAAGCTACCACCGACAGTTTCAGTTCATGTGTTTAGCTAAGTCAGCATGACCAGTCGTATACCACTTGCTACATTTCCAGTTCACTCTATTCAAGATGTAACCCAGAAAGACATACTGTACCTGACACTAACTACATAACTAACGCTAGTTAGCTAATCCCAGGTCTTGAATAATTTTCTAAGAATTATCCTCAGCAACCGGACCGGTAATAATGATAAAATGCAACCCTAGCGTGTTTCGTTGTTTGGCGTTTGTAGCGCTATTACCAATCGGTTCATGCGTTTATTAGCGTTACAGATAGCCAGTTCCTTAGCTAATGACGTTTTATCATGTGGACATTGCAGTCATTAAGCTAACCGCTAACTATCATATTAGCCGTAAGCTAGCAAGCTAATGACAACAGGCCGCACCCTATAACTTATCTTTTGTCAAACCGTGAGAACAAGTCTATTAATGATTGTAACGTACCTTAATGGTCTCGATAAAACATGCTGTTTCATCTTTACTCCAGTTATTCAGGAGTTGCCGTCCTTATGTCGTCTCCGTCATAGGGACAGCTAGCGTCCTCTGTGGAATATTTACCTGACAAACGGCCAGTTAACATCTCTTCCTGTTCTGTCAAGAGCAGTAACAAATTCGACCAATACGAATAATAGCGAGTCAGAAACTAACCAATTAAAGGAAAGCGTGAGCGAGACCATGCGCATAGTTGACAGTTTTTTTTTCCAACTATCAACATGAATGTTTTTATAATGTGCGACTGTATTGTTAAACACTATGTTTGTATTGGTGCAGTTCTGTCCCGCCCACAGCAGGATGACAGTCAGATGTCACATAAAATATTCTCTGCAATTTTACAATATGTTTATTTCTTAATTGTATGTTTATTAAGTTTTCTAGTATAAACTGAAAAACGCCATTATATTTTAAGCTAATTAAATAAATGTTCACACACATTGCATCTTTTTTTAAATAAAACAACACAATAAAACCAAAAAAAAAAAAAACAGCAATGATCAAGATATTGTACCCTTGACTGTTTTTGGTGCTTTGGCATTTTATTATTTTTTAATAGAGCAGTAAATCAAATGACCACCATTCTTCACTTTATTAACTAATTGGTATGAACAATTTTCAGGTGAACATTTTTACAGAAACATCCTGAGAGTACCACTAGTAAAGTTTTCAGTTATCCTGTGAAATAACGCAACATCTACTAGATGGGTTAGCACAAAATTTAGAACATTCATGGTACCCAAAGGGTGAATCTTAACAGCTTAATGACTTGCTTGTGATCCCATCTTCAGTTTGACCTTTGTGCTTTTGAGGGAAATATCTATAACTATTGAATGGATTGCCTACCAGCTGCAGCTACAATACTAATGACTCCTATGTAATGGCCTATATAAGCATGGAGTTGTCCCATCAGCACTGCAGTGCACTGCTTCAGAAACTGAATCCATAGCCTTCATTACCTGAATGGCCAGAGGTCTTGTTTTATTCAGACTGAGATGAAAGTCTGCAGCGCCTCTGTATCATATTCACTAAATAATGGAAATTTCAGCACATTACCTTGAAAAACTCATCTTCCACACTGAATACTAAATCCCCTCTTGGCTTATGTAGAAAAAGGGCTTGAGCTACAAACTAAATGAGAAATCCTTTGCTTTATACTTTCAACTTATATGTGACTGAGCAGCCTTTGATTTTTCATGAAAAATCAAAGGCTGCTCAGTCACATATAAGTTGAAAGTATAAAGCAAAGGATTTCTCATTTAGTTTGTAGCTCAAGCCCTTTTTCTACATAAGCCAAGAGGGGATTTAGTATTCAGTGTGGAAGATGAGTTTTTCAAGGTAATGTGCTGAAATTTCCATTATTTAGTGAATATGATACAGAGGCGCTGCAGACTTTCATCTCAGTCTGAATAAAACAAGACCTCTGGCCATTCAGGTAATGAAGGCTATGGATTCAGTTTCTGAAGCAGTGCACTGCAGTGCTGATGGGACAACTCCATGCTTATATAGGCCATTACATAGGAGTCATTAGTATTGTAGCTGCAGCTGGTAGGCAATCCATTCAATAGTTATAGATATTTCCCTCAAAAGCACAAAGGTCAAACTGAAGATGGGATCACAAGCAAGTCATTAAGCTGTTAAGATTCACCCTTTGGGTACCATGAATGTTCTAAATTTTGTGCTAACCCATCTAGTAGATGTTGCGTTATTTCACAGGATAACTGAAAACTTTACTAGTGGTACTCTCAGGATGTTTCTGTAAAAATGTTCACCTGAAAATTGTTCATACCAATTAGTTAATAAAGTGAAGAATGGTGGTCATTTGATTTACTGCTCTATTAAAAAATAATAAAATGCCAAAGCACCAAAAACAGTCAAGGGTACAATATCATCTTTGTTGTTATCTTAAAGAACTGCCAGAACTCTAGGGCACTGTTTAATATAAGAAGTTGCTGTCATGCCATCCTGCAGTCACAAAAACAAAGCCTCCCCAAAGAACACGTAGGAGTTGTGACAATGAAAAGGTGCCAAATATCAGACTCAAAGCTTTTCCTTGCCAATCAAGCACTCCCCTTAAGACCAATCTGTTTTGGCTGTGCCTTTAAAAGAAATTACATCTCACTTGAATACTTTTCTCATCTTCTGAATGCTATTGCTACTAAATTCCTAAAGGAGGCCTTTGATACAGTCACTACAGTTATTCTATTAGTAATTAACAGCTCCTTCACTTTTGGTTCATTCGACTCTTGTATTAAATATGTAGCAGTTTGTGACCTTCTAAAGGTCAATTGATTATAATTTTCTTGCAGGAGTATGCAGGACACTTAAACTGTTTTATGACTCTGTGGTGGCAAGAGCGATCCTATATAGTGTGATCTGCCTGAGCAGTGGCATCACACTGTACAAACTGATATAGGTCCGCTCAGTTCCAGGGTGCTCGCTAGACCAGTCTGGGGTATGGCGACAATCTGCTGGCCCTTATGGACACCACCTCAGGACAGGCAGAGCGCTCTGGGCAGTACCTTCTTTTGACTCCCGATTTCTGGAAACATCTGGAGTTCATACAATATGAGTCAGAGTTCAGCCTGAAATCTGAAGATGATTGGATCTTTGATATCAAGGCACCTTCAGCTTTAGAGCTCACTGTTTGAGGAGCTTGGGCTCTGTCAAACTGTTTACCTATGATCTTAGCTGAATACTTCAATTTATGCCTGCCATTTAGATCATTTCTACAGCAATTGAAAACACTGTAAACATGTTGTTTCTTATTACAGTGTTTATTATCGATTGCCCTATCTGCACATATTACACACTGCACACACAATTAGACAAAACTGTATTGTTAAATCAAAGTAATCTATAAAAAAGGGAGAAAACTGGTAATGTAATATAGCACACTGGCAGGTTAACTTATGATAATGTCAGAACAATTAGCATTTTTGGAAGCAATACTCAAAGCACAAACTAAATTGCTTGAATTCAACATAACACAAATGTATGTTTGCAGGAGAGCTGGATAATACAAACAATAAATAGCTGGGCTGTAACTGTGGGAGAATCAAACAAAAAATCAGCATGAAGGCATTTAATGATGACACTGACTGTCAGCAAAGGTGCTTTGCCAGGAGAGAGTATGATAAGATTTCATTAAACTGTGCCTTTGTTCTTTTTCTGGAATGAAATCTCCATGTGTTATGGTTACTCAACAACCCCCTTTTCACCCACTCTACACCATTCACATTCAGTCCACATTAACTGCATTTTTTAAAAAGGCAACCCACAAGTTAAAATGTTCAGTGTCTGACTGAGGTTGTTTTATAACACAGACAGTGAAAAAAAATAATAAAGGCATGTTTCAATAAATAGCATTTATATTTTGGCTGCAAGTGTCCGGGTAGGCATCTCAGCCAATTTTAACACCATAACTGAATACAGGCCCTCCAGAAGGCAGAACAGAAGACATGGAATACATGAATAATTTACCCCACAGAGAATAATTTCAGTCTTCTAAAAACTCACATTATGCTTACAGTTGATCAAGGCAGTATATCAAAACTTTGACTGTAATGGCTCATAACAGCAGTAACAATTCATCTTTAAATGCATGCTGTGTATAAGACACAAAAGGAAGGAACAATGTTCTTTTCATTGCAGTAAAGCAGGAACACTTCGGTAGCTGCCCTGTCTCATGGGTACACGTCCATGCTTTCCATGTAACATTGAAACAAACCAAAAAACAATACAACTAAATGTCCGTTTCCATAAACCATCTAATACAAATTGCTGATGGAGAATGGGGTTAAAAGCCCACGAGCACATCTCGCTCCTGCATGCTAGTGTAGAAGGACTTCCCGAACACAAATGAGTGCAATCCTGCTCTCAGCTTCTCAGCGAAGGCCATTATGATGCTCAGGTCTCCTTCCACAGTCAAGTCCAGGTCCGTCTTTAAATTGCGCAAGGATCGAAATGGCTTCTTCCCTTTTTGCCTGTGGAGGGAGGAGGAAAGATATTGTAGTGGAGCTGTTAACAACCTACAATACTATGGGTCAGAGATTCTGCATTAGCATGTAGCTGGGTTGCAGCTGTGCATAAAAATGCCATGCCACAATGAATTATGTATGTTGCTACAGGATGGCAAGTGAGCATAAACAATCTTGTCAAGGCACCTGTAACACAGTATGCCCTTCAACCTCTGGATGTTAGCAACACATCAAACCAGACTGCTCTAAGGCTGTCAAAGAAGCACACAAATTTTGATTGGGAGACATGAGTGAGATGCTCAGGGGTTCACTATTCATGGGAACACATGGCATTCAAAACGACTTGCTAGGAACCATTTTAAACAGGACAAAGAGAAAATCAAAGTTGTGTATGTCAACATTTCTTGTAATATTTAGTGCAAAAAAACAATATCTATTTGAATTTATAATAATTTAATTCATATTGCATTTCTACTGAATTCAAAAGAATAAAAAAAAAATGTCATTACATTTCCTTTTAGTATCTGCAACTGAACTTATCAAGCTGAAGGTGTCTATCATTTTCTTCACTCTCTTCTCTCCAAGAATACTTCTTGTCTGTCATTGTATCATTCGGTCACATTCCCCTTAAATTCAAAATGTGTATAACCAAACATTGTTTTAAGGAAGTTGCATTTCTGAACACTGATTTCTCCATCTACCTCTGAGGGTGAACATTTAGGAGTAAACTTGTGAAAATCTGACCTCAACAACCACTGTTTCTAGAAACCTTACTTAAAATTTTAAATGTATTAGCTTTTGACTTCCTAAACATGAATTAATAGCTTTTTGGCTACTTGGACACATCACAGCAAGCGGTAAACATAACACCGACATATTGTGACCTTATGAAACTGACATGGCTTAACATGCTTTTGGGAGCTTTTTCACTGAAATCAATTGCTATGAATAAAGTAAAATTGTGGGCGATAAAAGAAAAACAAACTGAATGTTGCTAAAATGCTGAAGGGTGCTGCAGAGTTGGGTGGGTCTGTCAGTTTAACAGATACCTTTCACATTAGGTATACTTGTTTGATCCACTGTAAATTTAAAATATTTATTAGTACATCTTTAAATTTTTGAAATAGTGACACAAATAAAGTAGTTTTGAAAAAGCATGATACATAAAGCAAGCAATTTCTTGTATGCAAACATTTGAGTGTATAGGCATTTTGTGTGAACACAGGCTTGTTCTCTTGGCCTTCACTGATGCAACAATTAGAGCACTTTCAGCAAGAGCCGTGTAACATGAAAAGCTGCGTCAACAAGTTAGTACTATTGTAGGCAAATTCACTGAGTGCAAATGATCTTCATATTTTTAGAACAGACAATCCTTGGCTATATTATGTTTGTTAGAGCCAGGGTATTAGGAAAACTCACAAATTAACACTAATATTTATAGACTAGTATTTCTCTAGAGCAGAACAGTCTGAAATTCATCAACATTGTAACCCATCACAAGTAAAACCTGCAATGCAGGTTACAAATACAGTATTCTGTTCAAATACTTCTGTACAATAAGCAAGTAGTTGGTAGTAGTTGGTTAAGTCCTAAAACACTGAAGTGCTCATGTCTTTTATAAACAAGAGAAAAGCAAGGTTTCATAGAACGAGACAAACAAACAAGAAGCGTGGGAAGGTCACTCCACTGCTGGGAAGCACAAGAGGAGCCAAGTCGAGCCCAGATGGACCAGTGAGCAGGTCGTCACTGGGAGAGTGGCACGAACACGGTGGACTGCAGATAACCTGCTGGGGCGTAAGGCATTTCTGGAAGCAAGCCAGAATGCGGTTACTGTAGCCCTGATGGGCTAGTGCCCGACTAGAGACCCAATTGTTTCTCATTCTTTTACAAAAAACTGAACAATTGAGTGGATTTAGTAGTGTGTAAAGCTACAGCACTAACTTGTTTTAGAAGTGATGTGTGCATAGATAATGTTCTGGGCACTACCTAAATGAATGCAATGTGTAGTGTGAGGTTACTAAAAGGCAGTAGGTCACCTCACAACATGGCATACAATCTCATTTCCATACCTGGGTAGGGGGGAGCAGGAAAATGAGAATCTCCTGTCAGTGATCATAAAAACATCACTTAGTGCACTGATGATGGAAAACGTCATCTCTAATGCAGCTCCAGGATGTCTCAGAGATTGAGCTGTGCTGACTGGTAGGAGACCATGTCATGTGTTTTTATACCATTTTCTTGCTCAACACATTATTCTTGCGTTGTGTAGTTGGAGAAGCTGTCATTATGGGATGATGCAGAAGATTCATCACCCTGTGTAGCTAGGCAACCAGCCCCTTCTTCACAGTTTCTTCCAAACATCAGTCATCATGTAAGCCTGACTCCCTGATTTAATGTAGCTTTAACAAACACCAAATACAACTTTAGTCAATTTAAAACAGTCAAGTGGAGTGAAACTGGTGAATTACAATATTTGAAAAGGTGAACTAGGAAATGTTCTGCATTTCTGCATCATAAATCACCTTATCAAAAAAGCTGTTGATTAATTTCTTTTGAAAAAACCTAATTAAGTGTGCGGATATGGTTATTTTTACATATTTTCAGTAGTGCCAGTGGTGCTATGTTTCTACAGTCCTTCACTTTTGAACATGCAACATGTAGTCTATTCATTTTTGTAATATTTCTATAGACCAAGTCCCTGGTCTACCAACGGTCTGCAATGGTGCAAATGTTTTAAAAGCAAAGTAGTTTTTTTCCCTGTATTATCATCAAACTGTAAATCCCAACTGCTAGTGCTAAATAAAAGACAGCTGCTTCTGGACTTTTCACCACATTACTACTGTTTATGAGACAGAAACCTGCCAGCTTCCATACTCGTGTGTGTGTTAATAAGCTGTTAAAACATTTGGTAGTGACAACATGTCCGCTTTTTTGATGTTACAGACAGCCTTAAATATGCATTCTGTATCAGGGGTTCACAATGTCCATCACTGTGGCCCCCCAGTCAGTTTAATTAATTAAGCCTGTATTTGCTTACATTGTGGTGGAATGCCACCATTCTGCCAAAATATAAACAAAGATGTTCACAAAGTACCCATGGATGCTTTGACAATCACAGGATTACTTAAGAAAACTCAAACAGCAGGATTAAGTTTAACAGTTACTTCAACAATTTCTAAGCATATTCACAGTTGTTTATTCATGAGATAATGTTGTTCTTGGGAAATGTCACACCAAATCTAAGACTATCTATACTATGTCTGTGTGTTCCGATATGAATGAGCTACCACTCCAAGGAGGAGTTTGACTCAAACTGCAGTAATTCGCCTCACGTCTCTCCCTCACCCTCCCTGTTTGACAACCTACAGCATGCTCTACATCTTTCCAGTTTCACAGGACAGACAGCTATTACTTGTACATGGCTGGAAAAATGCCCTTGTGAATACTATACAAAATAAAAAGTGTTTAATCTATTATGTCATGAGATGCTTTACCTGTATTTGTTGTGTCACAGCTGTAACATTTGTCTGTACAAATTAACATGGTACAATTCCTTATCTTTGCATTTGGAGTAATAAAAAAAAAACATTCTAAAATATTCCTCTCTTGTAGATTTTGTGTGCAACACATCACAAGTATACATTCAGAGCAAGGTGAGGGATGACTCATCGATCACAGGAGTTGTTTCTACTGCTCAGGAGAACACTGCCTGTGCTCTTTGTACTGCTTCTTCTGCAAAAAGAATAGCGACTCTGCATAGTAACCTGACAATATATTTCACTCTGTGCTTGACATGCTGTTCTGCTCACACCTCCACCCTGCTGAATTCTCATGCTCCTCACTGAAGTGCGTGGACATCTCTGTACTAGAGCACTAACCCTACACAAGCATGTTCCTCCCCTGCAACCTCACTGACCATCTACTTTAGTTTTCAGCTGGGTCCTCACCCAGGACGAAGATGTTACTCAACTACAATTAATGCTGTCAGCCGCTTATCATTCTTATATTTGGTCATTTGCCATATCCTCACCCCTATATAGCAAAACCCTGTGGACAACATTGTTGAAGCAGGAAAAAAATTAAATGACTACCGTAAAATCCGGACTATTGAGCACACCTGACTATAAGCCGCGCCCACTAAATTTAAGAAGAAAAAAAAAATTGTACATATACAGGCCGCACTTGTCTATAAGCCGCATGTGTCCACGTTGTAACATGAGATATTAACACAGAAAGATGTTGCACAGCTTTTGTCGTCTTTCTGTATTGAGTCAGTTCTTCACACTGCCTTCTCCAACGTCTCACCATCCATCCATTGATGCCAAGCTTACATGCAGCAGCTATTTCCTTCTTCGACAGCCAGATCGACCTCCTTTCACTTGAAAGCTGCATCATATGCATTTCTTTGTGCGTTTTCCATGATGAGGGTGTGTGCATGAAGTGCAAAATGACCGATCTGAAGAATTTAGTGTGAGTGCATTTGATTTAATTCGAACGTTTCATTGGTCCACTGTGACCTGTTCGGTAAGTTCGGTCTGATGTGACGAGGCTAAATGTATTGGCGGCATGAAGCTCGTTAGCCCGTAAAAATCCATAAATTAGCCGCATCGTTGTTTAAGCCGCCGGGTTTAAAGCTTGTGAAAAAACTAGAGGCTTATAGTCCGGATTTTACGGTACTTTGACTCCAAACATAAAAAAGTGGGTTACAGCAGGCAACAGGCTTCAAGGGTATTTCTGGTCATGACTTTTAAAGTCAGTGGCTGCAGTGCAAAGTCCCCAAAAAATAAACAAACAAACAAACAAAAAAGACAAGTAGGCAAGTGTGTGAGCGTAATGGACTATTACAGTATTCCAGTACAGCAATGTTATTTGTATGGAGCTCCAAAATGTTCATGTCATATATCTGTCATCTGAAAATGCCATAATAATGAATTGTATTTTAAACATGTTTGAGTATTTTACAATTTCATTTATAAAACCGTTTATTATTGAAACAATTAGTTATTTCATAATGTCTTATTTTTTCACTATGAACATTTTGGAGCTCCATATATTTGGAGTACATCCCAAGTCTATCCTATCAAGGACATCCCAAGACTCATATCTCGAGTAGGCTTCTTGGAGGAGCCATGACTGAGGAGACAAGAAAGCAACCTTAGCAAAAGTCTTTCGTGGAAAGACACACCCCTTTATCAGTTGGTGACTGGATGCTTCACATGAAGGATCAGAGGAAATGAGGCCTCATATCTCAAAAAACATGTTCCCTTAATGCCTGTCTACTCACATTTCTCCTCATATCTTATGCGGGCAGGATTAAGATGCAAGGAAAAGATGTGAGTCAGGGAAATATGGATGTATATTATAGACCTGGGATGCACCCCTAAATTCAAATCTTTTTAGTGACGGGTCTTACGTCTCATCCTCAATGTACTTCAGCAGTGTGAGGGCCTTTCTGTGGAGGAGCAACAGGAACTGGGCCAGATAAGTGCTCCGCAGGCCCAGGCCGGGCTTCAGCATGAACACCTGGGTACGATACAGGGTGTCAGTTAATGGTCCTAGCTACAGATCTGCTGGAAAATGTTGGAATAATACAGCCCCTTCCTCCTCTTGCAAATGAAACGTACTGATGCTCAGGAGAAAAACCTGTAAAACACAACTCTGGAAACACTTTCATTGAAATGGGTGATGGGCTGTGACTCTTGGGAATAAATAGTAATGTTTTGTATCTATGGGCTTTGGAGAGCATTGAGATAGGTGCACATATTTTAGGTATGTTGTAGCACAATACAAGTCCTGATCTGTGTTCAACAGCAAGGCACCTCAAACAAAATAAGACTGTGACTCATCAACTTTCAACTTCACAATACTATACACAGCAGTAAGAAATGTTAGGTATTTTTAGTCAAATAGCTATTGGATAGATACTTTATGTATTAGAAATGTTTAGTGGAGATAGGATGTCTAGTTAGACTGTTAAATGCTTAGTCATGCTTATGAGTTTCTACAGGGTACATCTGGTCAAGGATAACTAGAGAGAAGAGTTGATGACTGTCAGCAGACAGGATGTTTAATATTATTATTATGACGTGTATAACTGTAGCCTTAGCCATAATATGTTCTTATGTTTAAGTCACGACATGTACTAGAGGTCGTGAGAATGTTTTTAGCTACACACCACTTAACCAACAGACACACACACATTGATTTACTTCATGTTCTGACTACTGCTATGACCAGCTGCAAAGCTGGTAACAGAGACGTCTCGGTTGACGTTTCTGTGTAGTATGGGGCTAGCCCAACCGAGGGGATATAATGTATAGGCCTGGTGGGTTCAGGGTCTTTCATCTTACATCTGCCTGAGAGCAGTTTGGAGGTGCAAGATACCTGAGTGTGTAATGTTAATTTTACCTGTGATCCTTTGAATAAATCAGCACTGTTTTGAAGTTACTTGGACTGTCTCGTCTCTCAGAGTTAGCAATGGTAACAAGAACCAAAGACCAACAGAAACAAACAGCTTTGTCATAAACGGAAAAAAAACCCACCACATTTATGTTACTACTATTTAAGTGTCTAGCACCACTGTGACATTTCAGAATAAGAATGCAAACAAAACTGCAGAGAAACACAAAAACGGATCACTTTGGCTAATTCTGACAAAATCAAAACGGACTGAATACAGTGACCGTTCTGTTTTGGCTATATACATGATATTTGGGTGTGTGCACAAAGGAGTGGGTTTAATATTTTAAACACCGAAAATCTTTATACAGTAAACACAGTATGCCTCAGTTTGGACAAACATTTGGAAGTGAAACTGAACCAGTCTCTATAGCTTACTTTTTGTCTGTTATGGACAAGTTTTATTATTATTTCAGAGAGAAACAATTTAAATACCCCCCCATAAAACACGACAGGTAGTGGATGGAAGGACTGTGTTAATGAGTAAACTTGATCAGTTTTCCTCATAACACTGTGATGTATAAAAGAAACGGAAACGAGATCAGCCAAACATGCCATGTGTTAATTCAACAATTAATGAAGTTTTGTGGCTTGGCATCTTGTACACAGTATTGAAAGTGTCCAGTATGGTTGACTACCGGCCGTACTGAACTTACGATTTCAGGGGTGCTGCTATAGTTTTGTTTGTTTTGGATGATGAAGTGTGAACGATCATTAATGTAAGCACACTGTCAATAGTATAATGAGTATGGCTCTTTTATGGTTAAGGAGCTTTTCTCATTTATTTACTCATTTTTCTTCTAGATGATGATGATGATGATGATGATGATGATGATGATGATGATGATGATGAGGATGATGAAAAATGATTAATACGGAACATTATTTGTGAGTTGTCTGTAGACATATTCATTCTTATGATGTTGCATCTCCTGGTTAGAAATTTATCTCTTTTTCTTTTCTTATAAAATTTGAATTGTCTGAAATGTTTTACCTGTTTTCATGGAACATATACAGAATATTAAGTCAGGAAATGATCTGTATTCTTACCTCATCTATAAATGACTTAACCAAAGTATCTTTGTGCATGACGTCTTGAAATATATTCCTGTGAAGAAAGGTATAGTGGTTATGATACCAGCAATTTTTTCATTTCAAAGGAAATGTTATTGTGTACCTAAAGACAGAATCAGTGTAAATCACATTGTTACCTGTAAACATGGCGTCATGTATGACGGCCTCGATGACATGCGCTAGTAGTGTGTTGTTGTTTTTGCCTTTTTTGACAGTCTCTTGCAACCCAACTCAGATTAGCTTCACCAGAGATGAGCTCTTGAAAATCCGACAGCTCACTCTGAACACTCTGAAGACCATCACTTGGCAGATGCCCTGAATGTATTTTACTGTAGGTTTGAGAAGCAGAACTCCCCCCTCACCCACCTCACCTCAGACCCAGCAGCTGCTGTCCTCATTGTTCACTTCCTTCCCCCCAGCCCCCCACCCCTGAAGATCTGTGACAGGGATGTGTGTGTGGCTTTTTAAAAAAACAAAAGATCAGAAAGGCACCAGGCCCAGGCAGTGTGACCCCCTACTGCCTGAAAGCCTGTGCTGATCAGGGGGCCCCCCATCTTCACATTCATTTTCAACAGGTCACTGGAGCTGTGTGAAGTCCCCTCCTGCTTCAAACGCTCCACCATCATCCCAGTCCCCAAGAAAACCTCCATCAGTGGACTGAACGACTACAGACCTGTCACACTGACATCTGTAGTTATGAAGTCCTTTGACAGACTGGTGTTGGCTCACCTGAAGGACATCGTAGACCCCCTGCTGGACCCCCTGCAGTTTGCCTACTGGGCAAACAGGTCAGTGGATGATGCAGTCAACATGGCACTGCATTACATCCTGCAACACCTCGACTCCCCAGGGACCTATGCACGGGC